CCAATCAAAATGCTCAACTCGGGGCGCCTGGGTGGCTCAGATGGTTAAGCGTCTGCCTTCGGCTCAGGTCATGATCCCAGGGTTCTGGGATCGAGTCCCGCATTGGGCTCCCTGCTAGGCGGGGAGCCTGCTTCTCCCTCTGCCTCTGCCTCTCTCTCTCTCTCTCTGACTTTCATGAATAAATAAATTAAAAAACATTTAAAAAAAATAAAATAAAATGCTCAGCTCCAGGAGAGAGTGCTGGAGAAAGGGAGTGAGAAGTAGAGAGACACACAGTGGAGACATTTGGGTGGAAACGGATGAGAGGCTGAAGATTTGGAACTGCAAATTCCCCTGAAGCCGCAGGTCTGCAAAGGAGCATCCCCTCCCCTCTCTCCTCTCCCGCCCTTTCCCTCTCCTCCTCTCCCTCCTCCCTTTCTCCTCCACTCCTCGCCCCTGCCCTCCCCCAAGGAAGGGAACCACCTTTCTCTGCTACAAAAGCCTTCCTACACCTGCTCCTGGGCGAGTTGCCTCAGATCCGATGCTAGTTCTCTGGACACCCACCACCTCTCATCGCTCCGGTCAGAGAAGAGTTGAGACCAAGGGAGCCCAGGTTGGGGGGGCACAGACCTTTCCAGGAGGGAGCTGCCCGCACAGGGGAGGACTGCGGGTCCCCCAGCAGCCCAGCAGGAACCCGCTAGCAAGTGCCAGACTAACTGGGATGGCGTAAGTCGAGATTTTTTCAAGTGTTTGACGTAGCTGCCCTGGCCTGGGATTTACACGTTGACTTAAGGCCCAAAGGTGCGGTTAATAAGTCCCCAGATTGACTACTTGAAGCCTGAACAAGGGTGGTGTAGAATTAATGAGGTGAAACCGTCTGGGGTCCCGGCCTGCTATACAGGACAGAAGTCAAAGGCTCTGGGACACAGAAGTGTTCTTTGCGAGTGACTCAGCCACGTCCTCATCACAGCCTCTCCCCTGCGGGGCCCAGAGAACAAAATTGCATGGGCGTCCTTACAGAGCCCTGGGGGGCTGTCCTCTGCAGCCTGGAGGGGATGCTGGGGGGCACAGAGCTGGCGCTGAATTCCGATCTCAGCAGGAATAATGGGATCCCAGAGTGGGAGCAGCACCCAAGCATCAGGGACCAGGCGGGCCCCAACGCCTCGAGGAGGCACGTGGATGGCAAGACAACAGTGACTTGGCATGTGTGTTGTGGCTCCTTGCTCACAGGCGTCCCCGGACACGAAGGAGATGCCTACCAAGTGCTGTGTGACACGTTCAGGTATGAGAAGCCCTGGTCTGCTGACTCCTTCCCAGATCCCAGACTGAAGCCAGTTTTCTACACCCAGTCCTCACGTCTCCAGAGAGACATTTTACGACGTGCCCCCTTGAATTGCCCTGTTTTGAGAGTATCATCTGTGTCCTGCTGGGATCCCGATCTCAGAGGACCATAGGTCGGTGGGCCTTCCGTTCCTGTGGGGGCAGTAGTCATTACACAGGTCATTATAAAAATAAATCGGGAAGCTCTCCTTAGCAGAGGACAAAGGGACAAAGAAAAGCCACCCAAAGAGAGTCCAGGTAAAACAGAAACCCAAAATCAAAGTACATAGTGAACGCTTCAGCTCGATTAGACGCTGTCTCGATAAAATAAAAGCTATGAACATAGGTTACCTTTACCTTGTATTTACCAAGATGCAAATTATGCAAAACTGTAGCTGTGCCCCCCAAGACTTCATACCAACCTAACTAGAGTTGCAGCCTTCCCCAGTGGTGGGATTTCCAACCTCAGCCTGGAATTCCCTGACCGGCACTAGCCGGTGGCCAGCAGGATGAGACCCCCTGCCTTCCCACGGGAAGGTGACCTTGCCTGAAACCACTCTTCGTCTTTTGCTAATAATTCCCTTGTCCTGCCCATTTCTGCCTACAAAAGCCTTCCATTTTCTGCAACCCCTTGGAGCTCCCTTCCACTTGTCCAGTGGGATGCTGCCCCATACGTGAATCCCCCAGTAAAGCCAATTAGATCTTTCCATTTACTCGGTTGAGGTTTTGTTCTTGGTCATCCTAAAACCCTGTCGTTTCTTAGGTGATAAGAGATATTTGGTTTATGACCCTGGTTCCTGACACGAAGCTCCTAACTCCCTTGGAATTTCCTGGGTGATAGGAGTGTCTGTTGTTCTAACAAGGTGGCTCACGATGGCTCCCAGATGGCCCTACCTGCCCACCCAAAACTGAGACCAAACCAAACAGCAAGCAAGAACTGGCATTCGTGTACCTGGCAGGAGAGAGAGCCCTGAGAGGCTGGATCCCTAGCTAGGGAGGGGGGCATAGACAGGCTCCAGGCCATCCCTTTGGGTTGAATGAGCAGGTGGAGGAGCTTGTCTGAGATAATGCCCCAAGAACCTCACCCAGGAAGGCAATCATGCAGGGAAGGATGTGGCCCCCAGGACGGCTCCAGCAGAGGGCCGCGGCCAAGGAGACAAAGCCACAGGGCTGGTGGGGGCCAGGGGACAGCCCCAGTGTTGGACATCCTGAAATATGAACTATTTCCACCTTGAGGTCAAGAGGAATGTTGTAATTGTTCCACTCATGACAAAGACATTTGGCGAACAGGACTCTGCCCTCCCCAGCATTACACGCAGCAGGTTCCACACCTGGTGAGCTCCTTCTGGACCCGGCCCTCCCGCGAATAACAGCTATGCACTCTGTGCAAGTTACAAAACAAGGCCCGGATGCCAGTGGAGAGGGGACAAAAGGCAGCCAGCTTCTAGAAGAGAGCCAACAGCTGCAGGAAAAGGTGGTGAGCGTGACACCCATTCGTGTGGCTTCAGCCTGCAGCCGCTACAACCGTGCAGAGCAACCTCAGCCCCAATGGCCCCTGCCTGGCCTGAAGGGCCAGAGGACTGGGTTCGGGGCAGACACAGCCCCGGAAAGTGAGCGGAGAATCCAAGAGCAGAAAAAGCCAGAAAGGAGGACACTCAAATCCTGCGGATACATCTGCCTGATTAGATTCACCAGACTGCAAAGTTCTGCTCATCAAGACTCTGTCAAGAAAACAAAGAGGCAAGCTGCGGACAGACAGAAAACATGCATCTGGGGAAGGACCCGTATCCAGAATAAAGATCTTTACAATCCAAAAAATAAGATAAGCCACTTAAAAACCAGAAAAGTATTTGAACAGACATTTCACAAAGGATGACGCGTAAACATCCAAAAAGCACGTGCATTAACACTCAGTATCACTTGCCTTAGCTAGAAAGAGCAATATGGACACAACTGATGAAATTTGAATGAAGATGTGTGGACGGGGGAAATTCTAGCAAATCCTATCAATGTGAGATTTCCTGATTTTGCTAATTACATGGTGGTTCCGTAAGAGAATGCCCTTATTTTTATAAAATATACTCTGAAATATTTAGGCGTATCTTACACTCAAATGATTCTGAAAAAAGTAGTATCTGTTTACCATGGCCCACCTCACCTGTGGTTCCGTTCTCCACAGTACAGTTACGGCAGTTGAGAGAAAAACCCTCTGAAGCTCTGAGCTACAGCACCGATTTAGATTTCTAAGTCAGCATGACGGTACGTACACTTTGTTCAAACCAAAATCTGACTTCTGGCCCACCACCCACACATCGTGCACCTGCTTTGTGAATGAGTAATCTGAAGAACATCTTGTCCTTCAGATTCCCATCAATGCCCCTGCTCCCCACATTCCTTTACGATAAAACTCGTGATTCCTGTCTATATGCTAATCTGTAATCTCTTGGGCTCTCACAAGATGCAAAAAAAAAAAAAAAGTATATAACTCTGTAAAAACTGTTCATTCTCCAGAGCACATTATTCCCTGTGAAGAGCTTGTTTCCTGGACAACTGTCCTAACTGGGCCTGAAGAAAACTCTTTCTTTTTTTAGAGATTCTAAAAGGTTTATTCATTTTGTGTCGACACAGTCAACAACCATCCAAAAGCAGATGATGTATCGTTGGAAGGTCAAAAGTAGCCTAACCCTAGGTCAGAAAATCTATGTCACTCACCTCGCTCCACCTCATCACATGGGCATCTTATCTCCCGTCATCACAAGATGGGTGAGCTTAGGGCAATAAGATACTGTGTGAGACAGAGACCACATTCATGCAACTTTCATCACGCTATATTGTTATAACTGTTCTATTTTATTATTAGTTACTGTTGCTAATCTCTTACAGTTCCTGATTTATAAATTAAACTTTATTACATGTATGTATGTATAGGAGAACACAAAGTCTATACGGAGTTCAGTACTACCCATGGTTTCAGGCATCCGCCAGGAGTCTGAGAACATACTGCTTGCAGATAAGGATGATTACGGAACTGCAAAAGTATGCTTATACACACATATACTGTTCTTTCTCTCTTTTTCATGCTCTCTTTCTAAAGCAAATGGAGCAAGATAGAAATGATTCCGGAGTCTGGGTAAAGCATATACAAGTTCCTTTTACTATTCTTGCAACTTTTCTGTAAGATTGAAATTACATAAAAATAAATTACAAAACATCAAAACCACTGGAAAATGTAATGAAATTTTCAAGGACTGATGGGGTTGTGTCAAAATGACCAGAAGTGGGTATGAGGAGCTACCAGCGGCCAGAGCTGTCCATTTAAGCACGATAAAGACAAGGATCACAGTGGGTTGAAACACACTGAATCAATGAAAATCCATGAGTCCATGAGGACCACTCAAAAAAGAGAGATCCAGGACAGACCAATGTGCCAGCATTTGGAGCATCCATTAAACTAACATCCTGCTGGGGCGCCTGGGTGGCTCAGATGGTTAAGCGTCTGCCTTCGGCTCAGGTCATGATCCCAGAGTCCTGGGATCGAGCCCCACATCGGGCTCCTGGCTCGGCGGGAGGCCTGCTTCTCCCTCTCCCTCTGCCTCTCTCCCTGCTCATGCTCTCTCTCTCTCTCTCTGTATCTCTGTGTCTCAAATGAATAAATAAAATCTTTAAATAAAAAAAAAAACTAACATCCTGCTTTTAAAATTATTCAAGAGAAGGAAAGAAGCATTTATCCTGTCTTCCCAGGAGGACTGTATTTCATGGGAACCGAATAAACCCAAAACTTTCCTGCCTAATAAATGTAGAAGGGACAGTAGATTTAGAAAAAATTGTAACCATTACAATTATGGTTAAACAATGGTGGTCCCAAAGATTTCAGGTCCTAATCCCTAGAATCTGTCAATCTTGCCTATTCAGAAAAAGGGTCTTTGCAGGGGTGATTAAGCCTCTCAAGGGCCCTTACAAGAGAGAGACAGAAGGAGATGTGATGATACAGACGAAGAGGTGTCAGGTAGTCAAGGAGCACCGGGGCCCCCAGGAGCTGCAAGGACTTGTCCTCCCCTACAGCTTCCGGGCTAGCCGAGCTCTGCATGGCCCTCAGGTTTGGACTTCCAGCCTCCAGACCTGTGACAGAAGTGTTGATTGAAGTCGCTCAGTTTATGGTAACTTATGACAGCAGCCCCAGGAAACGAACACAACAATGAAAGTGATTCAGACAGGGGCGCCTGGGTGGCTCAGCTGTTAAGCATCTGCCTTCGGCTCAGGTCATGATCCCAGGGTCCTGGGATGGAGCCCCGCATCGGGCTCCCTGCTCAGCGGGAAGCCTGTTTCCCCCTCTCTCACTCTCCCTGCTTGTGTTCCCTCTCTCACTGTGTCTCTTTCTGTCAAATAAATAAAATCTTTTAAAAAAAAAGAAAATAAATAAAAAAAAAAAAAAGAAAGTGATTCAGACAACGATCATTAGCCGGTGTTGAAACACGGAGGTAAGTGAGGCTGGAGACTGGAGGCTCTACAGTGCCAAAGTAACAGCACACACACCACTTCTAGTGGCAGGGGACTAACGCAGTCCAGACACACTCCTCTTCTGACCTGATGACACAGGAAGTACACAACGCACAGGATGGTGAATTTAGTCAGCCATTCACAAATGGTGACTCCACCAAGCCTTTAGCTGTAACTTCTAGGAATAAGAAATACAGGGGATAGCAGAACAAGCTAAGAGAGCCCAGACACATCCAGGAGCTGCGACATTCTGCGGGCAGCGGCTCGGTCTTGCAAACCAGTGTTGCGGGAGGGACTGCTCCCAATAAAGGGCATAAGACTCCCCAGTGCAAGGCCATTCCACATCCTGACAGCGTGCCTCACACAGCGTGCTCCACCGTAACCACCTAAGTCCCCTGTCCCTTCTCCCTCTGAGGCATTCAGACACCTGTCCCCTTGTGATGTGTGGTACTTAGAGCACACAGGCACTTTGAGAACACACTAAGGGAGCGCCAAGTAAGTTGAATTGGGGAGGGATTTGGCAGTGTGGGTTTCTGGAAAATATGCATGTTCCTGATTTGTAGTAACTTCCACGTGTAATTCAGTTCTTGCTAGCTGCTCTGGAATAGCTTCCAGAAATACCCCTGCCACCCATTTTGGTGACTTACCCAGCACTCCGACACATAGATATGGGGTCAAAGGTCAGATCTCCACCTGCCCTTGTCTCGTGGATCCAGCACCACATCTATGGGAGTGGAGGAACGAGGTTTGAGGAGCACAGCACCAGGCTCTAGTCTGTGGATATTACTTCAATCACCAGACACATAAAGTTGGACTCTCTCCCGTCAGAAACGTGATGATGCAGCACATACAATATTTGATGTGAATCACACACAGTAGGGTTTTATCAGACTGCATGTTGGTAGCGCACAATCCTGATGCAGTTTCGTGAACCCCAAGATGTGGGGTGTTCTATCTCCTCAATGGTCAGTAATTATAAACCACACTAAAGGAATAGCTGTGATGACTTCCCTAATCTCCCTACAGGAAATCTTGCAAAATTATTGTCATAAGAAGAGGCTAGCAAAGAGTATCCTGGCAAAAATGTAGGAGAAGTGTTAGAATATCAGTATTCTGATAGTTTTTTAGATGTGCTATTTGTGGATTCACCAGCTTTTTAGTTTGTAGTTTTTTTGAAATTTCTTACTCTAAAATAGTATCTGTCTTAATGCAACTTTATATTCATAATGTTCTGTGTGTTTTTGTAAAGAGGCTTGGATACCTCGTTCATAATGCATTGTTCTTAAAAAAGCCCCCTGTTTTGGGACCTAATGACCATAGATGCAGCACATGGTGCCGGGCACACCAACTCCAGAGACCAATCTGGGGTGAACTGGAGACACCACCCTCCAAGTGACTCTGGGGATGGAGGAGGATGACGTGAATCTGGGGAGATGGGAGACCCGGGGGGGACGGGGCTCCTCCAGAATCACATGTCTTCACAGTGGTGCTGGCCGAGCCAGGGGGTGCCCAGACAGTGTGACTGTGGTCTAGGCATTAGCCCCACTGCCCACCGGAGGACCTGAGGGGTGTGCACCCACAGGTCAGAGCCATGTCTGTGGGAAGCCCTGCCCCTTAACCATCTGCCGGGTCCCCCGAAATCCACACTGGGTTGCTGAAGCCATGGAATGGGCAGGAGCGCCCCCTCCAGTGGTAGCTGATGGTTTCTTGCCCGAGCCCAAACTTAACTTTTTTTTAAGACTTGATTGATTGATTGATTGATTGATTGATTGATTGATTTGAGAGAGAGAGAGAGAGCTGGGAGGAGGAGCAGAGGGATAAGCAGACTCTGCACTGAGCATAGAGCCCGACTTGGGGCTCAATCCCATAACCCCGAGATCGTGACCTGAACTGAAATCAAGATTCAGATGCTCAACCAATTGAGACGCCCAGGCGCCCCGCCCTAAGTCTATTTACTGTGCTGTTTTGTGCACCTTGCACACAGAATTATTTTCTAGGGTCTTCGTAGCTCTCTCAAGGGAGATTGGAGAGAGAAGCTTTAGTAAGTGTTACTCTATGAGCGTGGCCAGAAGGCCACCTCCAGGAACCGTCTTCTGTGGTGTTAGGGGTGTGTGACCTCGTTCTTTATCCCAGGAGAAAACAAGGCTGAACAACCACAGCCAAATAACCTGGAGACGTCCCGCTTAAAGAACTCGCAGAGGCTCATCCATAAACAAAGGATGAGGAAGACATTTATTTATACTGTGCACTATTTAACAACTAATGAGAAAGATTAATAATGGATTAGCATCAACTGGCCAAATAACAGAGCATTTTGGGGATATAATCTCCTATTCTTCCCGCTCGCTTCAGCTCACTCTAGTAGCTCTGACTGTTTACTTTCTTCTTCTTCAAAACTAACAATTCCTGAGGGGAGAAAAGAAACATGAGTATATTCCACACTCATTTTTTCTATTTTGAAATTCTGTGTGCTAACAGATCTTTTGCAATGAATAATATTATAAATATTAAGCATTTACTGGGCAAAAAATACAATGTTAAATTTTATCTTATACAGACTTTTGTAGTTTTTCTTCAGTACCAGTGTTAGGAGTGCATTGGACAGTTAGGAGTCAGGGCCAGGGTCCCCAACAAGAAAATATGGAGTCAGGACAGCTAAAATAAAATAGCGCTGACATCTCGTTTTGCGGCTTAGACAGGACCGGACTAACGTTCTGCTTTGCAGCCTTTGCAGAAGTGACTTCTGCAAAATGTCCTAAAATAAGACAATTAACCACCAAAGCATTTGTCAATATCACGGGCAAGGGGCAGTTAAGACATAAGCCCCCAGATGGCAGCAAAAAAAAGACAATCAGCACATGGACATTAACCTAATAGGTAGACAGATACGTGACCAGAGCCCTGATTGGCACGGTTCGGCAGCCCTGACTGCTTAAGATAGCAAAAGAACTCATAAAAACCCCTAAACTTAGACTCTCCGAGGGCAAATCTCTCGGGACCCCTCCCTCTCCGGGAGCTTTCTACTCTTGCTTTGCTGCCCACCACTCTCCGACTGGTCCACCTCTTCATCCTTCGAAGTGGGGTGACCAAGACCCACAGACCTAAGGGGACAAAAAATCCTGTAACAGCAGCAATAAACTAAGCAAAAGATAAATCAAAGTCAATGCTGAGAATATTCCCATGAGAGTGAGCTCAGTAACTATCTTTGCCTGCACACACTGTCCACTTATGACCAGCTTTACAAACGTGAGGCGGCACTGCTCGCCCTTGCTTCAGTCAAAAGAAAGGCAAGGATTCGCTACATTCTGATGTTATCTTGAAAGTTAGAGTTATTTTTTATTGTGAAGTAAACTCTATAACCCTCACTGCTGGCGATGAAAAGAGATTAGTAGGCTGAACCTCAGACATAATGTAGGAATCGTGTTAAAGCTTGAGTTCTTGTTACTGTCATGACACGTTTGCCTACTAGGCCCATTGTTTACTTTAGCCCGTTTTTCGTTTAAGGCATTCTGACATTTTGGCACCTACCCTGGGAGGTGTGAGTAGCACCACCCCTCCCCTCCCGGCCCACTGCCCCACCCTCAGAAATACTTCTGATGCTGCCGCACCTGCTCCATGCACCTTCCGGTACACCGCAGTCAGTGGTGGTCACAGGGCGGTCGAGTCACAGATTCTCCACGCACTTCCCATCAGCCCTTGGTGCCTCCAGGGCCCCCTGGTTGGGCAAGCAAGGTGTCCCCCCACCAGACGTGCTCAGGATCAGCCATAGCCTCCATGTAGGGAGCATCCGTATACCATCTAAATGCTCTGCAGATGCAGGCCTCCTCCATCCTCACAAACCTCAGGGCATTGGGGACAAACGCAGGATGCAGGGGGTACAAGCAGGAGGTCCCTCTGGCTGCTGCTGGGAACCCCTGGCATCAGCCCCTGCGCTCTCAGCCACGGGCCGCCGAGCCACCGGCGCGGGCTTCTTCGTAGTTCGACTCACCTGCCAACAAAAGCCTAACTCTGTGTGCGCCTAACGCTTTGAGATGGAAACCTGTTTTACAGTTCCTTATTGCAGAGATTATCTTCAAAAAAATGGGGAGTACAAATCTTCAAAAAAGATATTTGTTCTTAATTTGCAATAGAGACAGACTAACCTGCACGGGGTCCCCAGCCTAGCAACCACCAGACCACTGGGTCCCTCACCACCAAGATACCGCCTTAAACCAGACACAAGAAACTGGGCTCCAAGAAGAAAGCCCTCTCTGACTTCCTGGGGTGCCCACAGCACTTGGAAGATTTTTCAAAGATTCTAGGAACCTGAAGTCCCAAGCAGACTGAAGGTTGAATCCCTGGCCTGTGACCCGCAGATGCAGAGGCTTCTGGATTAATGGTACACTCAAACCCACTTAAAAAGGGCTGATTCCCAGCACTGCTGGCCCCTAATCAGACTCCTGTGATTCGACCATGGTAAAATCAGGTAAAAAAAAAAAAATGGGGGCGCCTGGGTGGCTCAGTTGGTTAAGCGACTGCCTTCGGCTCAGGTCATGATCCTGGAGTCCTGGGATCGAGTCCAGCATCGGGCTCCCTGCTCGGCGAGGAGCCTGCTTCTCCCTCTAACCCTCCCCCCTCATGTACTCTCTCTCTCTCTCATTCTCGCTCTCTCAAATAAATAAATAAATCTTTAAAAAAAAAAATGAAGCCATGTTATAAATCTCTAGTGAGACTCTGCAGCCTGAGGCTGCTCTTTTGGTAAAAATGGAGATAATTAGCACGTGACAGAGAGCGAGAGGCCGTGCAGGGCAGCAGGCCGTCCCCCACACAGTCAGGGGGTTTGTCGGAGTGCCTGAGAGAGCAACAACCCCACGGCCCCGTGCGAGTCCTCAGCCGGCCCCTGAGATCTCGTTCCAGTCCCCGGGGCAGCCCATGAGGCCAAGGTCAAAGACAGGAGAACCCGAGAGCCCTCCCCAGTGTGCGCCCACCTCCTCCCTGGGCCCGGGTGCGTGCTCACCCTGGTCGATGGTGTCATATCGGAAATTCTCTCGGCCCTCCTCCCTGGAGCCATCTCCATCGTCCTCCCCAGGCCTCATGGAGTCAGTCTCCCCCTCAGAAACATCTGCCAGAGCCTGGCCCTCCTCCGAGAGCTCCCCGCCACCTGACATGAAGCCACAGGAACCACTCTCACGTAGGCTGCAGGCCTGGGTCTCAGGCGGCTGCTTCCTGGCCTGTCAGTGCCCACTCCCTCCTGCTGATAGTGTGTCTGCCACCCCCTCTGGGGACCCCCCTCTCCTGCTTGAAGTCACCCAGTCCAGCCCAGATCTGGAGTGCCCGAGCCCCATCTCGGCAAGGGGTTCAGATGGGGCACGTCTACCTCCCACCGAGAAGCTACACTCTGTTCCCCAGGGTTCACAAGCTGATGGGTGACAATTCCAGAGAGTCGATGAGCATTGCTCTCCAAAGGGAAGGGAATGCCCACAAGCAGAGACCAGAGAGGGGAGGCCTGACCCTGCCATGCCTGGGGCTGTCTCCACCCCAGATCTCTCCAGCTGGAGGAACCCCAATACATGAGGACTCCTGCCCAGTGTAACCTTCTCCAACAGCCCTCAGCACCTTGGCTACTTCTCAGGGAGACCACTGGGATGGGGACGGACAGCTGCGGCTGTCACCGGGCTGCCCTTAGCCCTGGCCCAGGCTCAGGCTCACAGCCAGTCGCAGACCGAGGGGGGTGGGCTTTTAGTAGCAGTGCTTCCCAGGGGACCAACCAAGTTGTCCACCTAGCCAGTCAGTCCCACTGCCCCCCCCTTTCCACCCCCAGCAGGATCTGACCCCCCCCCATTATCCTGCACACAAAACAGGCCCAGAGTCCCAAGCCCACAAAGAGGAGATGCCCAGTGCCAGCACCCTGGGGGCGCCCCGTACCCTCGGTTCCTGGAGCCTCTTCTGGGCCAGGCCCGTCCGTAGGTGGCTGCTCTTCGGGGAGGGTTGGGGTCCACAGAGACAGTTCTGTGATTTTGGTGGCTTTCCATTTTGGAACCACGGTCATCATTGTCGTCTCCTCCTCCTCCTCCTCTTCTCCTCTTTCCTAATTTAAGTTCAAAAATGTAAAATTACCAGCATGTGTGTAGACTTGGGGTGGAATGTTTACCCCGGGCGGGGGGGGGGGGTGGACATTCGGCCACCATGACACCACGGCTCAGTGGTCAGCCCAGTTGTCAGCTGCCCCTGGTGGGATCTCGGCTCAAAGGTGGATCTTGGAATCGCTAAGACGAGGCACAGACAGGCATCACCACGTGGCACATTCATGTTCCCGCTCCTGCCGTGAGCGGCTTCCGGACTTGACATTCCCAGCCTTCTGGAGCAGTTAAGAAGTGACCGAGACCGGGTGTGGCTTTCATGTGCTCGGTCACATTTTCTGGGTCTCAGATTTTTTGTGTATAATTAGCTAGCCTCCCTGGCAGGAAAGGGCTGGAGGCATCCTAAGACGACCATATAGCATGGAAGGGCCTGAATACTAAAGCTGTAGAATCAAGGATTAAGGGGGAAATGAAATCCCATGAAAGCAGAGGGAGAGTTGATCTCTCTAAATGTGGGATCTTTTGTAAGAGTGTACAATTCCGGCAACTGAGCAGCCAGCACACGCCCATTGGGCCGAGCATGCCAGCCTACTCCCCAGTTTTGTAACTGTCACAAATTTCCCAAGATCTGAGTATCAGTAAATGTGGGAAATGTCACTGTCACATAGAGAATGATACCTATGACAAAGAGTGACAGAGACCTACCTATTACTTCCGCTGAGTCGCTCAGAACTAGATGGCTTGGTTGCCAAATTTCTGAGCTCCATCCCCATGAAGGGTGATGTCAGTGCCCTAGAATCACCGGGGGGCTCGTGAAAACAGGGGTCGGAGCTTCTGCGTCAGGACGTCGTGGGTGGGGATGCGATGCTGCAGGCCCCGGACCACACCTGGAGAGCCGTCGCCTCGCGTCCTCTGTGGTCTTTGTCCGATTTCTCTGCTTATCACAGCCCCGGTCGTCATCCCAGAAAGCCCAGGTGCGGCCTTAGACTGAGGCCCTCGGGTTGTGTGTAACTCCCCAGGCTTATTCCTGAACAGGAGCGGTTCTGGGGGCTTATGGCAATGGCCAGCTGCTCCCCCTGACCGCAGCTGCATGGGGGCTTCCACGGGAACAGTGACGTGATACCGCTCAGTTCCGGGAATTCGGGTCTGGACCGAGGCACGCGCACACAGGGGGATGACAGCACAAACATTGCCAAGAGCTGGCATGACTTCCATGTGACCTGATGGGATCTGTGGGCTCAATACCCCCAGGCAGCTCTTTGGCCTACGGACAGAGGATGCTGTATGCACTCTGCCACTCACCATATCTGTTAGACGGTACTCCCCATGCTGCTCACATCCGATATCAAACACGTACTTTCCAGGGCCTATAGGCTGCGGGCAAGGAGAGACCAAGAAGGGCTTCACTCTTCACCACCCAACGGAGCACGCAAAATGCCGCGGAGATGTCACCTCCAGAAAACCTGCCCAAAGTCAGGCAGGGGGACAGCCAATGCGGATTAAAGACAGCTTTTATGAACTGATGGCCAATGGAATTACCAAGTATAGAGCCTGTTTGCTTCGTTATTTAAACTTTAGTTTTATCTTTACAAAAGTAATGTATTTATTACAAAAATTTCACTAAGTCCAGACCCACAGGCAAATGAGGTAGAGATAGAAGTGCTAATAATACTGTGACATGGTCTTGGGGCCCCTGGGTGGCTCAGTCGGTTAAGCATCTGACTCTTGATTTCGGCTCAGGTCATGATCTAAGGGTCATGAGATCGAGCCCCTTCACAGGCTCTGCGCTAGGCGTGGAGTCTGCTGGAGATTCTCTCTGCCCCTCCCCCTGCTGCCCTCTAAATAAATAAATGAATAAATGAATAAATGAGATCTTTAAAAAATGTATATTGTGACATAGTCTTTATAGCCTTATTCCTTATTTCCAGTACGTAGATTTTCCTAAATAAAAGTTTGACCGTAATTACACACACCGACTCATACTCTACTTCTACCTAGAAACATGGCATAAATGAATTCCCATATTTACCAATAGTCTTCCACAATGCCAGTTCTCAATCTGGTATTTTCTTTCACTTAAGAATTAGAATCTATTTTACCCATCTACTATTGTTAATATTTGGCATGCCGATGTTAACCCTGGACAAAGACCACTGCAGGAGACACATTCGGAGTCATGTCTTATGTACATTCTTGATATTTTCCTCAGGGAAGTTTTCAGAAGTGGAATTTCTTGTATACACACACACACAGTGTGTACATATATACTCGCAAAATATATAGGCACACCTATTTTTTTATATATTGACCAGAATGAGGCTCCAATAATTCTCCTTCCCACAACAGCACTTAAGAGCCCCTTGTCTTCAAACAAGGGGCTCTTATTTTTCCTGGGCATTAACATTTTGCTCTATCTTTACATTTTTTAAAGATATATAAAACAGGATCTCATCATGAAGTCACATCTTTAAGCTATTAGTAGGGTTGGATTTTTTTCAACATTTTTGACCACTTAAATCACATTGATTGATGCAAATGCTTTATGTATTTATATTTAATGTTACAAATATCCTGACCCCATTGGTAATTTATCTCTTAAATTTTCTTTATGGTGTGTTCTAATCAATAAGGGATTATTTTTAGCAAGCAAAATCTGTTGGGTTTTCCTTTATATTTCTGTTTGGAAAGTCCTCTTTCCTCATTTCAAAGTTAATGAACATGTATTTTTTTCTGTGGTTTTGTTTACATTTAAACCTTCACTCCCTCTAGTGCATGTCTTCATCTCACGCTGGATAACAAAGTGACTTTGTTTTTCTCCCAAATGGTTATCAAGTTGTCTGAGCACCGCTCCTTGACTTCTCCCCATCATGTCCTCATTAGTTTAAATGACGCCCTTTTCAGGAGCTAAATTACCACCGTATGCACTTGAATCTGTCCCTAGACTTTCTAATCTGCTTACAGATTTCCCCATGGAGATCAATGAAGCAGATTAGAAAGTCTAGGGACAGATTCAAGTGCATATAGTAATGCATTTATCAAAGCTTTAAAGTATGTTTTAACAACTTGTCAGCAAGGATATGAACAGGTAATTCTCTGAGGAAGATAGTCAAACCAGTAGCAAAATTGTGTAAAGATGCTGGACTTCACTAGGAACCGGGAAAATGCACATTAAAACAACAAGACATTTTTTAACCATCAGATTTGCAAAAACATTAAAGACTGGTGACATCCAACAACGTTGGAGACTATGTGACAGAGACTCTCAGAGTCTATTCACCAGAGTATGAACTGGCAGAGCCCTTTAGAGCAGTTGTGGTGATATCAATCATGATTCAAAATGTCAATATTTGTAGACTCAGCAATGGCAGTATCTAACCTATGTAAATATTCCCAAATGCGCAAAAAGAGAGACATCTCTGTGCGTATTTTCGTGGCCTGATGTACTGTGATCCTATTTATATAGTGACGGCCCCGTGCTGTCCGTAAACGTTTGCGTACGTGCTGCACAGAAAGATGTGCGGAGGGTCACACGCCAGAGGGAGAAGGGAGGGCTGGAACTCAGGGGGGCAGTGTAGGGCCGAGCGTCTGGGGGCTTTACAAGTGGAACGGAAGCTGACCCTTGAACAACGCAGGTCTGAACTGCACCGGTCCACTTATATGCGGATTTTTTTCAATAAATACAGAGCAGTGCTATAAATGTGCTTTCTCTTCCTTATGATTTTCTTAATAACATTTCCCTTCCTCTAGCTTACTGTATCATAAGAATACAGTATTTAATACATATACAAAGTATGTGGCTTACTTGGTGGTAAGAATACAGCGTATAACACCTGTAACGTACAAAGTATGTGTTAGTCGACTGTTTAGGTTGTCAGTAAGGCTCCCGGTCAACAGCATGCTCTTGGTAGTTAAGTTTTGGGGGAGTCAAAGTTCTATGTGGACCTTCAACTGTGTGGGGGCGGAGGGGGGGATCAGGGGTCAGTGCCCCCGACCCCTGCATTGTTCAAGGGTCAAGTGTCCTTGTGTGCTGTTTGCATAGTTTTCACTAACTAGCAGAACAAAGCTCTTGTTCTCCAGGTTAGTCTACGCTCAGCTGCATTCGTTGATTCTTCCCGATTAACTTTTGTCAAATTCTCTTTCCCATAATATCCCATGAGAATTTTGCTGAGAATTACATACGCAACATATAGATTTGGGGAGGATGTGCTGCTCTACAAAGACTTAAAAGTAGAATCTGTAATTAGGGAATGAATTTTATGTAAATGAAAACTGAGTTTTAAGAGAGTCTGAGGTGACTTCATTAAATTAGTTTAATATTGCCTGCATCAACTTCTTTTTTTTAAAGATTTATTTATCTGAGAGAGAGAGAGCAGGGGGAGGGGCAGAGGGAGAGGGAGAGTCCTCAAGCAGACTCCCCACTGAGCACAGAGCCTGATGTGGGGCTCAATCTCACGACCTGAGCTGAAACCAAGAGTCAGATGCTTAATCAACTGTGCCACCCTGGCCCCCCCTTCTATGTCAACTTCTACCGCCTTTAATTTGCTCGGCAAACTCTTCAGGGGAAGTTTCTGACCAACGCCGGCTCAAAGCCACGAGGAACACCAGCATGGTGGGGGCTCAATATGCAGGGCTTCTCTGCATCCCAGCAAGGCTTGGCACAGCCACAGAGCCCTCCAAACAGAAATGACCAATTGTGAGCACTGCGGACTGGACACCTTCACGCCCAAGTCCACGCCCAGGGTGGGTGGGCTAGCCTGCAGCAAGGAAGAAGCTCGTGGGTCTCCCTTCCCAGGGCTCCAGCCCCATGCCTCCCAGGGCAAAGAAAGTCCAAACACCCACATGCTCAACCACAGGAAATGTTTCACATCTGATCTACTCATGATGAGGAGCACATATGAGAGGCAGGATGTCCCAGTGTTATAACTACGGGATGGGTCACTGCCCGGGGAGAGGGGGGATTTCGGTGAGATGCAGAGAAAAGAACCAAGTGCCCCTCCACTCTGCCCTCTGTCGGCGTCAGAGGCTTGGGGAGAGGCACGGCTCCCCACTTTCTGTATTTGGAGGGGGTGGGAGGGTTCCCTGAGTTTTTAGTATTCTTCGTTGCCATATTTACATAGACTGGGGGAGGAGGGCGCACATCGTTTCCCACCGACTTACGTTTTTGTTCAAAAACTTGCCCTGGTACCTGTGGTTCAGGTGAATGAGCTCGGCCGCACCCTCTTGCTGTCCATTCACCCAGGTACCTATGTACTTACTGCCCGTCTCTGCGTAGAAATAGGTGCCTTGCCCGTGCCTGGTTAAGACAGAGAGAACAATGCATTTTGTTCCGATACAGTGAAAAACCTTCCAGGTTTATAAGACACATTTAAATTGAGAGGGCCCTATACTTTACTTCTCTATCTGTGCCCCATCAGAGCGCACTCCTGCTCCGTGTGCCCAGCATGGGAGGGGCATCGCCTGCTGGACAGCGACGCCCGTCCCGCACATCAGCCGCTTCACACGGAAAGAGGCAGCGCTCCTGGGAGCTGTGTGTCCCCAGGAGGGTACTTCGGTGGCCTCCGGGCCCTGGGGGCTCTTGAATGAAGGACCACATATTCTCCCCGCGAGTCTGCCCCTGCCCAGTAACGTCGCATCTGGCGTGCCCACCTTAAAGCCTCGAAGGGTTTGGACTGCCTGGCAGAGCTGGCTAATGGGCTTTTGTCATGATTCGGCCCCATACTAAGACGTCATCATATTCTCATTACATAGGTAAGTCGACAGAACAGAAGAGAGAACGCAAACCTTTGGTGAGCAAACCACTCCCCCGTGTAGGTGTCGTTATTGACGTAGTAGTAGATGCCGTAACCGTGCCTTTGGTCGTCCGCCCACTCCCCTGGAAGGGACGACACAAAGCAGGCCCGGGTGAGAAGGGAGAGAGGACCTTCACCTGCTGTCTCCTCCCTCTGTGACTCTCCTCTGTCCCCCTGCCCCTCTGGCTGGATGGCGTGGCGTGGGGGTCCGGTTAAGGGAAGCTGAGCCAGGGGCTCCCCAGATGCAGGTCTGGGCAGGGGCAGGCAGGTGGGCTGCAATGAGCTGAGCGTGCCAACAGCAGGTATCACGGCTGGTCAGTGGCAGAGCAAGGATTTGAACCCGGGTTTTTGTCTGCCCAGCTGTCCCGCACACTCGTTCTGCTTGCATATGTTTAGCGACCCAGCACCACCACCAAGGCTCGATGATCTCTCCTCGGCCCCTTGCCAGCAGCTTGCTCTATTCCCACTCATCACCTGGCTCCCACGCAGCTTTCCAGCCCGGGCGCCCAGGGTGCCCCACCTGCACACCAGCCCCTGCCTCTGCTTGGACCCTTCCCTCACTAATTGTCCCTGCCTCCTCACCTCTGTGCCGGTTCCTGCGAATCTCCTGCTGACTTGCTGAGAAATATTGGAATTGGCAAAGATACCATAAACTGCCTGACACCTCTACCATAATGACAACAGCAAACTAGTTAGTGAATGCAGTCGATCCTTGAGGATGGATCCCTGCACCAGGAGACTTATAACGCCCTCCAGTCTTACGGCTCACACAGGAAAGAAACTTAATAGAGGTTTCTGAGGTTGACAACTCTCCTAAAAACACACATGGTATTGCTAATAACAAGTTGTTACCCTGAATGACGCTTTTCGAGACTATGAACAATTTTTTAAAAAATGAATTTTGATCAATTTTTGATCAAAGACAAAAGATAGAATTCTCTATTTTCTCTGTAGAAAGGGATATTACAAAATTGTTGTCGGACAGACATTCCATTATTAGCTAGAAAGGTAAGGAAAAGGAGTGCGGCAGGCATGTCAGTTAATTTTTTTAAACATCCATTTGTCACTTCCTCAGATTTTGTAATGTTCGTGGTATTTTAAAATTGTTTTTATTTATTTTGATTTTTTATTACAAATAAACATTCACATTTATGCCAATGTTATATTCTTTTTCTTAAATAGAGCCCCTGAAACTTGCATAAGCTCCTGGCTTACAAGAAAACTGGACCCGCTTCTGCATGAAGAGAAAGCGTACGCAGCATGCCAAGAACATGTGGATCTTCCAAGAAGTATGTGTTTACATGAGTGAACCCCATGTTCGTCAACAACAACAAATCTACAGAAGGGCACGTCTACATGTTTTCCCTATCAGTCCCACAGGTCTCAAGCACTCTGTGAGACAGACAAGCAGTGGTTCCAGGAACAGAACCGCCCTGGGAGAGCTTGCCCTCGCCCCGGGCGGGAGGCCGACCCCCAGCCACAGAAAGAGCTGCGTGCTCAGGAAACAGCTAACAGCCCAGAGAGAAGGAGCTGGGAACTGGTACCAGCGAAGGAAGAGGCGTGATGTGTGCCAGAAGCAGCATGAGCAAGGGTGATGGAGAACCCCCAAACTGAAATAGTCCAGCAAACACAGGGGCTCGAACCTAAAGCCGCCCTGAGGATAGAGAGTGTGCAGAAGTCCTGGAGGACTTGGGCTTTAAGGGGTCACTGTGTCTTGGTAAATTACCAGTTTAAAAGAAGGAGGAGGAGGAGAAGGAGGAGGAGGGCAGATGTGTAGCACGGACCGGTTTCTGAGGTGTAAATATTCCCACTGAGGCCACAGTTGAGCTGAGTACGGGGCTGGGGACAAGCAGCCCAGAACTGGCTTGTGTGAGCGCTCAGGAGCTGAGCAAGCAGGGCCCCGGGGGCCAAGACGTCCCTCGGTTTCTTCCCCCAAAAAAGACCATGACAAAACAATTCCATCCTCTTCTCTTGGCCATGAGAGCTGGTCTCCAGGGCAGCATGGCAAGAAAAATGTAGTAAGTATTTTGCAGAAAATTTTCAAGAAAAAAAATTAAATTACAAGGGCACCTGGGTGCCTCAGTCAGTTGAGCATCTGACTCTTGATTTTGGTTTGGGTCATGATCTCAGGGTCATGGGATTGAGCCCCGTGTCCAACGGGCTCCGCTCTCAGTGGGGGTCTACTTGAGATTCTCTCTCCCTCTCCCTTTGTCTCTCCCTCCCATGTTCTTTCTCTCTCTAATAAATAAATAAATGTAAAAAATAGGAAAGGAAGGAAGGAAGGAAGAAAGAAAGAAAGAGAGAGAGAGAGAGAGGGAGGGAGGGAGGAAGGAAAGGAGGGAGGGAGGGAGGGAGGGGCGCCTGGGTGGCTCAGTCGGTTAAGCATCTGCCTTCAGCTCAGGTCATGATCCCAGCATCCTGGGATCGAGTCCCACATCGGGCTTCCCTGCTCAGCGAGGAGTCTGCTTCTCTCTCTGCCTCTGCCCCTCCCCGCCTCTCTCTCAAATAAATAAAATCTTAAAAAAAAAAAATAAGAAAAAATTCAACTGCAAAAGGCACCAAATTTTAAGCCAGTGCAGAAACTTTTTTTTAAAAGTCCCAGTTTACGGAACAAACAAGCTGTTAGAGATTCTGCGCAGCAGATGGTAACCGGGCCACAGGAAATGGTGCAGAAGTGAGGGAGCTAAGTGAGGGAAAGGTCGCCTCCTGGAGCAGGTCTTTAACAACCATGAGGCAGGTTTCCCTTTTTATACTGCATGCCACTAAGAAACTGTATTACTGTTGCTTTAAATGTGCACTTTGTTTTTTAAAGTCTTTCTACCCCTAATCCTATACTTTCTCCTCATTCTCGATCGTGTCAACAGTTTTTCAGCTACATTTCTGTTTGGGAGAAATCCCCATAGTTGGTTGCCTGGGTTCTGGGTTGGTTTTCCTCCGGGAGAGCACTGTCCCCTTACAAAGCTCTCCATGTGCATCGACCATGCGGCTGTCCCCAGGCTTCCAGAGCTCCCAGGTCTGGAGCTCTGGGGATTAAAGACCGTTTAAAATGAAATGCCCTGGGGTGCCAATCAAGCATCTGACTCTCGATTTCAGCTCAGGTCATGGTCTCTGGGTCGTGAGATCAGGCCCCGAGTCAGGCTCTACACTTGGTTCGGAGTCTGCTTGGGATTCTCTCTCCCTCTCCCTCTGCCCCCTCACCCCTGCTCATGTGCATGTGCTCTCTCTCCCCCCGCCCAAACAAATAAGTAAATACATAAATCTTTAAAAAAATAAAAGAAAACAAAACAAAAATAAAATGAAATGCCCTTCCAAGAAGCTCTCTTCCCACTTAAAATGAGGGTTAGTCACTGTCTGTCCTGCTGGGTCCCTCCACTGCTGGGTCAGCAAAACATGGAAGAGATGGGAACTGACATTGGTGGGGCATCACTCTGGTGGTGGTTCCTGCCAACTAGGGTCTTTGCATTGGCCACCTCCTTAGGGATGTGTAATAACTGAAACACGTTTTTATAGGGACAGCACCCAAAAACCAGAGAGATCATGCACATTGCCCAAGGCCACACAGCAGGACAGAAACGGAAATCAGGGTTTCCCAGGCTCCAACATCATGCTCTCCTCCACAAGCACCAATGGCCAAGCATTCATGTCTTCTTCCGGCTCCTGCCACCTGAGAGCTTCCAGAAAAGCCAACTTCAAGTCATCATAGCATTTTGTCTCTCCACGGTGTCATTACTAAACATCTTCATCTTTATTTGCTCCTTGCGGCCGGTAACAAGACCAGCACTGGAGACGGGTGCTCCCTCTCCTTTCCCAAGCCCTCACTGACCCTCTATCCCCACATCTCACAATCTATAGAGGTGGTCCAAACGGCCCTCCAAAGTCTGGCACCCACTCACCCCTCCAACCTCATCCCCTGCTCCACCAAGCACCCCTGCCTCCCTGCCTCTGCTCAAGTGGCCCTCAAACCAGGAGTGTGCGCTCGTCCCTGGGCTCCCCATCGGGCTCAGCTGGGAGATCAGCAATGTGCCCCCCACCTCGGGCCGAGGCTGAGCACTCTCGCTAACCTGCAGGAAACCACTCTGCGTCCCTTAGGCTGACCGTCGCCCGAAACGACAGGCAAAGAATTCAGCCATGTGTTAACTTAGACTTTGTGACTGGAAGGTTGTTCACTTACTGAGCTAAAATTAACATTGTGGCTTCTGACGCCCAAGAATAAATCTCTGAGCAGCAACTACACCCTGCACCCTTTAAGGTACAAAGCCACATGGACACACAAAAACTCACAGCTACTTCCAAAGAAGGTTTACATGTTGGCTAACTTTCACGTTAAAAACTCCTTCGATCCCTTATTCTGAGTATCTTTTTTATATATTTACATGTTGTTCAGCTTGTATTAAGGTCTACACTAAAATACAACATGACAACAACGAGATTAAGTTCATAACAGTCTGAAAGGAATTAAATCAAACACTAAATTGTTTAAAGTTGATTTAAAAAGCAGATGGTGCTCCTCCTGGAATAAGCCCTCTAAGAAATATGAAACAGAGCAGAAATTCCCTCTCTAACACGACCAGCATTGGCACCCTTCCCCTGGCTCTCGGACACGGGCAGGATCTCTGGTTTAGAGTTCCTTGGTCCCACTTTCCTTCAGCAACAAGGGAGGCAGCTCTGGCTTGCACCCGAAGGACACGTCCTCATCGGGAAGTGATGCCACCCAGCCGACACGTACTGAGCGCTCGCCATCCGTCAGGCACGGTTCCTAGCGTTCGATCCTCCCACACTGCGGACCAGAAAGCTGGGACGGTGAGCAGTGAGCCTCCCTACACGAGGTCATACCTCTTGTCACCACAGCTCCAGGGGTGCGGTCCCAGGCCTCCTGGGAAATCTGATGAAAACTGGATACATTCTTCCCAGAAAAAGTCCAGAACACAGAATCCTGCATAGTTTCTGAGGGTTCCCACCCACTCCCCGCTTCTCTCTCTTCTGCTCTGTGAGCACATCTTACCTTCATATCTTGATCCATCTGGGTATATAAAAGTGCCGTGACCATGCTTTTTATTGTTAACGTATTCTCCAATGTACCGAGCACCGTTTTTAAATTTGTAGACCCCCTGAAACACATTGATTATAGACAATTTGTATCATTCCTGAATTCAGGGCTCACCACGAGAGTATTAGCTGGAGAAAGCTACCCACCGAAGGCACCCATTCTGACCTGGCCGTGTCTTTTCCCGTGTTCATAATTCCCTTCATACGTGTCCCCATTGGGCAGTCTTGCTTTCCCGTGTCCGTGTCGTTCACCTACCTCATTCCGCTCCCCCTCGTATTCCTGGGCAGAAGAGACAGGGATAATTACAGCCACCGTGTATTAATCACTAAGGATGGGTTAAGCATTTTTGTAAATAGTATTTCACGGAATCCCTCCCAATCCTCAGCCCCATCTTACAGGTGAGGTAGGTAACCACACCTGAGCGATGAGGAGCATTGGTCCAAGGTGACATCCCTAGGACCTGTCACTGGTGGGAGCCTCCCTCTCTCTCTCCAACATCTGAGCTTGCAATTTATCATGATAATCCTTTACACTGTAAACAAAATCGACAAATTGTGGAAAACTCGAGGTATTCCGAATTGTGTTCTTTATGGGAACATGTGCGAAGTAATAGATGCAGGTGGAATAGGTCCCAAGCCACACAAATACCTCCCTGTGGCTTCCTCCAATAATCCAGGACTTAAAATGCAAAAAACCGCCTCTTCTTTCAAGGATCCGTGGGAGCCTGCAGCCTCCTGACAGCTTTCACCCTCAGGAGGGGCCTGTGGGAGGGGAAGCCACATGGGGGAGCTGAGGAGTAACTAGGGCTCAGTTGTCACAAGAGTCCCTAACTCCACTTAGTTAATCTCCTTATCAAGTTTAAAGTTCTTATCAAGAGACTTGAGTTTGAAACACTCATAGACTAATACGGAAATAATTATGTATCTTAAAAGTAAATCAATCAAAGAAAACCTAACACAGGCTTGTAATTCACCTACTTTCTCCTACCCTTCACAAAATAAACATTCCTCAAGCATCTAATCATGAGTGCAGGGTGCACATAATAAATAATAAAAGGGCCAAGGCACAGAGTAATGATTTGACATGGAGTTGTATCTGCAAAGATTTACTACAACACAAGCTCGGAAACACTACCAGGACTTCAGAAACAAACACCTCTGCAGTCTGCCCTTGCCTAGCACTATCCAGCTCAGAAATCCTTGCTCGGAACAGAAGGTAAAAATGTGTGACCTTACAGATTTGTTTCAGGGTTAGTCTAAATCAAAATGTATAGAAGCTACACCCCCCCCCCAGAAGACCTCCCAATGCACCCAGTACTGAGCTGAAGTGACTGAACGGGAGGGGAACTCTTTAAAATGACCCCAGCTGTGATTTAAAGCTAAAATTATGGGCACAAAAGAGTTACAAAACACTAGGGCTACCTGAGGAGACAAACTCGAAGGCTTACTCAGCAGATGCTGTAGGTTGGGTTCCCCCAGAAGCAGACCCTGAGCAAGTGATTTTTTAAAAGTGCTCCCCGAGAATCAGTAAAGGGGGAAACAGATATGAAAGAGGAGCATGGGGGGTGTCAGGAGATGTCCCAGACTCGACCTCACTGCACAGGGGATTCTGGAGTGTAAATCACTGCAGTTTGTCCTGCTTTTTAGCACTAGCTGCTGGCTATCTGGAGAGCACGTAGATCCCAGGCTTCTGGCCCTCGGTACTGGCCGGGTGGTTCCACTTCATAGACGTGCTAGTCTTGAGCAGTAACCGGGGCAGAAGCTGGGAGATGGACACACAGAGCTCGCAAAAAAGGTCAGAGCAGGCACCAACCCATCTATCACAGCGGAGGTGACAGATTTCTCAGTTAACTCTGAAACTATCTCAACTCTGTACACCATGGCTGGGGTTCCCACCTGTCAGCCAGGAAATGGTCACCCTCTGGGGCAGAGTGATTAATCTGTGGACATGTATATGCACCCGCAGAAAGCCCAGCTCACACGGCTGGATGCTGTGCACCCGGCACCGCCTCTCTGCTGCCTAAACCGGGGGATTCCAACGACTTGGGTCAGCTCCCCCAAGACTGAAGAAAGCACATGGGATTCCGGGTCTCTAGGGCAGAATCTTCTGGAAGCCTTCGCTGAGACCTCCTCAGCATCTCTTGAAGGCTGCCGCGAAGCAGCTTTCCTCCCTCCGCCTCGGTCCTGAGGGGCCAGGCTCCACGCAGAAAGGACTGCCCCGGACAGCACGGCAGGCCGAGTGACCCAGCCGACCGCGGAGAGCGCCTGGATGGGGAGTGGCAGCAGGGACGAGGAGGCTTCCAGAGGCTTTGACTCGGAAATGGTTGCCTTTAATGGGAGGCGGGATGCGGAGGGGAGGAGACGCGAGAAGGGAGGTGGCAAGAAGACGTCAGCGTTTCACCTTTCACCGCCAACTTCCAGGACGCGGCGCCTCTGGGGCCGGCGCGGTCCCTGCCCCTGGCTGGGCAGCCTCCCCCTCGCCCGGAGCGCTCACCCCAAGATCATTCTCTCCCTCCTCCTCCAACTCCTCCGAGCCCAGGTCCGACATGGCCTCGCCCCGCTCTCGGTCCTCGCCGCCACCAGCGCGTCTCTAGTCGGTAGGTCCCCGCCGCCCGCACCGCCGCGTCCGCCGTCGCCATGGACACGCGGCCTGCCCCGCCTCCCCGCGGGCGGAGGGGTGGAGAGGCGCCGGGCGGAGCCACTGGCGGCGTTCGGGTGCTGTCATAGCAACGGGAAGGGGCGCCCCGGCCTATCACCGCCCCGGAAGAGAGGGGGCGTGGCCTGGGGCGGGAAGGGGCGGGGTGGGAAGGCGCGGGGCGGAGCCGCTGGCAGCTTTCGGTGCTATCATAGCAACGGGAGGGGTACCTCGACCAGTCGCCGCCCGGGCAGAGGGAGGGGGCGGGACTTGGGACGGACTTGGTACCCACTAGCTGTCTAACCTGGACCCCATGTGGCTGGCCCCGGGACCCTGCAGTCGGCTGCTGGGTGATGCTCTAACGAGGAGCCACCTTTGCACCAGGGCCATAAAGACGTGGTGCACAGAAGACGCACAGAGACCAGCTCTGGACAGGGCTTCACCTCTGCCTGGCGCTGGGCACTGCCCCATCCGACCCGTCCCCTTGGCTTCTTGGGTCCCTCCATGGGCCCTGCCCCCTCCTCCTTACCTTCTGGGCTCTTCTGACCCTTCGGTGTTGGCAGTCCAGAGAGATACGTCCGCCGAGAGCTTTTCTCGTGTTTATAAACCTCCTCCTGACGCAAGGAGTCAGCTCTAACCTCTTAGCAGAGGCGCGTCCACACGGATGCCCTTCAGAGTTTGACATCCCTTCTCCACCCCGAGCCTGAGTCCAGTCCCCTCTATACCCCAAGGAGGAAAGGACTTCAACTCCATGTATCGTCTACCTGCTTGTCATCTATCCACCTATCTATCATCCATCTAGCTAGCTATCAGCCCCCACAGCACCTAGAAAAGTGTTTTTCACCCAGTAGATGCTCAGCCAAGCCAGTGAAATCCAGTCCATCGGGGCCTTTAGATCCCGGGTGAGATGGAAATATGGTTGAGGTCTTTCTTCATCAGTGGTACTTAAAAGAACCTCTATTTTGTATGTGTAAATAGACAAAGACCACCCAAATGAACACGCAAAGACCATTTATTCAGAGCTTGCCCTAGCAAGGAAGTCAGCCATCATCACTTGCATTTTGGCAGAGACTCACAGGCAGGTGGAGGGGCGGCAAAGCTTACAGTGGAAACGAGAGAGGGCTCCAGGTGTGCCCTGATTGGAGGCTATTGGCTCAGGGAAGCTGTAGGTGGTTATCTAGAAGTGGTTATCTAGATGATTGGTTAGCAATGCAAACTGAACTTTCTCTGGTTGGTCCTAAGCTGGAAGTGGGGACAAAGATTAAGGAATTGCTCAGTTATTAGTCAAGTCCTGGCCAATTGTTACAGGGGTTATTGTTTGCTCCTAGATCAATTGGTGGAGATAGCAGACTGACTTCCTACAAGTCTGACTTACAGCACACTGGCTTCCTGGACTGGTTACTGTAGATAATGGGTTGGTTTCCTAGGCTGTAGCTTATGGGTCAGAGTTTTGTTCTTCTATATGGTTTGGCCATTGTACATTTGTATAATTACACATTTGCAAGTTACACAAATAACTGTGTTGTCTCAAATCTCAATATTGTTGGGTTTTGGGTTTTAATACCTTGAACAATAACAATAACCCAATCATTTTATTTCTTTAAACCTAATATTTAAGTACTCAAAAAACTGAGCTAAATGGAGGGGAAACAGGTCTTAAAGTCATCATTGTTCACTGAAAACATTACTCTCCTAGAGCTAGAATGCCCAAGTTCTAATTCTGGGTTCCGATGGCTTTGGTGACTTCAGGCAATTCACCTGCCCTCTGAACCTCGGATTCCTATTTTGTAAACTGGGGAGGATAAGCCCTTCCTATCTCAAGGAGCTGCCATGGGGATCAAAGATAATATTTTATTAATGTATTGTTATTTATTATGATAGCTACCTAATGTTAACAATAAAAATATTACAAAGAAATCACATATCATTAAAAGAAAGTTCCCCTCACACCCACCCCAAGATGTGTTGTTTGTTGTTGCTGTGGGGGTAGGTGGAGGAGTGGCTGAGGAAACATTTTGATCTTGCCGACAGCCTTACAGATGCCAAACCCATGAGGGGAAGCATCCACAGATCTTCCAGAGCACACATACTTTGCAGCCTTTCCCTCAGAAACAATGACATAGTGGAAGATAGTGATCTTAACCAAATCTCAGGTCCAAACACATCACTTACTGAAAAAAGAAACAATTTACAAGCAAATTAACACACAAGACCCTACAATTAGCACTATTTGTTAGTTGCAAAGAAAAAACATTGTAAACACCAAAATTTAACAGTTTTTCTTGTGGGGGAAAAGTGAGGTGTTTGGGAAAAAGATGATCATGATCTTCATTATACTTGGCAGTTGCCATGTTTACCACAATTAAGCATTGGAGGCTGTTGGCGCAGGGAAGCTGTAGGTGTCTTTTTATAATAAAATGTCAAAAATATTTTATTTTATTTTTTATTGTTATGTTAATCACCATACATTACATCATTAGTTTTTGATGTAGAGTTCCATGATTCATTGTTTGTGCATAACACCCAGTGCTCCATGCAGTACGTACCCTCCTTAATACCCATCACCAGGCTAACCCATCCTCCCACCCCCCTCCCCTCTAGAACCCTCAGTTTGTTTTTCAGAGTCCATCATCTCTCATGGTTCATCTCCCCCTCCGATTTCCCCCCCTTCATTCTTCCCCTCCTGCTATCTTCTTCTTTTTTTTTTTTTTAACATATAATGTATTATTTGTTTCAGAGGTACAGGTCTGTGATTCAACAGTCTTATACAATTCACAGTGCTCACCATAGCACAAAGCCTCCCCAATATCTATCACCCAGCCACCCCATCCCTTCCACCCCCCACCACTCCAGCAACCCTCAGTTTGTTTCCTGAGATTAAGAATTCCTCATATCAGTGAGGTCATATGATACATGTCTTTCTCTGATTGACTTATTTCGCTCAGCATAACACCCTCCAGTTCCATCCACGTCGTTGCAAATGGCAAGATCTCATTCCTTTTGATGGCTGCATAATATTCCATTGTATATATATACCACATCTTCTTTATCCATTCATCTGTCGATGGACATCTTGGCTCTTTCCACAGTTTGGCTATTGTGGACATAAAATGTCAAAAATATTTTAAATGCTAGAAGTCTGGAATGGTAATTGGTAATTCAAATACATTTTAGCAGGCGCCTGGGTGGCTCAGTTGGTTAAGCGACTGCCTTCGGCTCAGGTCATGATCCTGGAGTCCCGGGATCGAGTCCCGCATCGGGCTCCCTGCTCGGCGGGGAGTCTGCTTCTCCCTCTGACCCTCCTCCCTCTCATGCTCTCTGTCTCTCATTCTCTCTGTCTCAAATAAATAAATAAAATCTTAAAAAAAAAATACATTTTAGCTTTTTTGCATGTGAAAATGAATGTCAGAAATTCAACATTCAGATTTGCTCTAACAATGACAGTAATCAAGTTTTGCTAAGTTCTGACTCTGTGCTGGCTGTGTTTTAAGAGTTTTATATGAATTATCTTATTAAAACCTCGCTGTCATTCCCCCACTGTATGGCTAAGGAAAGGAAGCCACAGAGAGGTAAAGGCATTGCTCGAGTTCACACAGCCAATGGGATTCAAAGCCATTACTCTTCATCATTACACTCTACTGCCTCCCAAATCTCTGATTTAAAGGAATAACTGTGGTTTTTCTGGGAGTGGCTTTAAACCATCTACCAAGCAGAGAACCCCTGGCTCAATTAGCTTTAGATTGAAAAAACAAACAAACAAAACAAACAAAAACCAGAAGTGGCTTAAGCAAAGCCTGTTCAGAATCACATCCATTGGCAAGCAGCTGGGTGCCTAGCCATAGATAGCACTAGTGAATTCTAAAATTTACAACTTGATTTACATCTCATGCAAATTAGTCAGTGTTACCCCTCCCCCCAAAAATCTTTCAATCTACAGTAATTTCACTACACTGCAGGTTTAACAATTGCCCACATAAAGTAACACGGCGTAACAACAGGACCGCGTCCCTAGCCTCCCCCAGCAACACAGGACCTGATCCAAACCCCTCCGCCCAGAAGAGCTCAGATCAGGCTCCCCCCCTCTGAGAGACCCAGGGAGTACCAGGAAGACTTCATCAGGCCAGGCTGATTCCTGGCAGCCCCGGACTCCCTGACCCCTGACTCCCAGGTGACCCCGAAGTGCCCGGAAGTCACAAAAGCAGCACTTTCAAACTCCAAAGGAAGGCCCTCAAAATGCTTCCTTAACTCGTCCTCTTCCTTTCTTCGTGGGCATGAGGGGCAAAAGGGTGAGAACATCAACAGAAGCGGGTTTCTTCACTGGAAAAAAGGCAAGAAATCCTCTTCTACCTCTTAAAAACCTTTTCAGGGAGACACTTCCCATAATTCACCTGCAAGGTCTCCCATCATCCCCCAGCCAGGCCTTCCCATCATCCACCAGGAGGCGTTTCCCATCATCTACCAGTGAGCTCTTCCCATCACCCACCACGAAGCTTCCCATCATCCCCCAGGAGGGATTTCCCATCAACCCCCAGCGGGGAGCTTGCGCAGATGCATCCCTCCGTGAAGGAGGGAGGGCCTCGGGTGAGTGGAGAGGGGGAGGGCCCGGGAGGGCCCACCGTTCTGCCCAGCTCTGTTTCCCCAGCAAGAAATTATCTTCTTGCCTTTCCCAAGTAGAAATGACAGAGACCCACCTCTCTCAACCTGCCCGCCCTCCTCCAAAAAAAGAATGAGTAAAGAAAACACGGTCCAGGCCGGCCAGGCCGGCGAGGGGACCCTTAGCCTCTACCACGGGGTTGCTCCAGAGGGGAGGAAAGGGTCTTGGAAGCACCCCCCCCCGGGGGTCTGCCACCTGACTCCACACCTTTCTGACCACCTGCAAGCTGAGGGCTGTAGGCCTGGCAGTTGTCATGGCGACTAGCTGTGTCCCTGAGCCTGTCCCTTCTGAGTTCCTCAGGACCCGCTTGAAAAGGCCCTGAGAACTAGGCAGAGTCAGA